CCAAGTCATTGTAAAATGGGAGATGACAGTGCCTGATTTCCTAGGATTGTTGACAGGATTGAATGGCAATATAAAGCCCTTAGTACAGTGCCTAGTGGATAAGTGCTCGGTAAATGTTAACTACAGTGAGTAAATAACTGTTTGATGGACATTGAAAATAGTGAAGTGGGCTGGGCGGGGTGGCGCACACCTGTAATCCCAGCTACTTGGGAGACTGAGGCAGGAGAATCACTTGAACCCAGGAGGTGGAGGTTGCAGTGAGCCACAATCATGCACCACTGCACTCTAGCCTGGCAACAGAGTGAGACTTCATCTCAAAAAAAAAAAAAGAAAGAAAGAAAAACATAGTGAAGTGAATTTGTATGCTTTTGGCTGATACGGCAACTTTTTTTTTGAGATGGAGTCTCACTCTGATGTCCAGGCTGGAGTGCAGTGGCACGATCTCAGCTCACTGCAACCTCCGCCTCCCAGGTTAAAGCGATTCTTCTGCCTCAGCCTCCACAGTAACTAGCCACCACGTCCAGCCTGATATGACAACTTTTAAGAACTCTCCAATGTTCACTTGGACTGCCAAGCCCCATAAGCCTCATTTGAAATCTCTGTTAGACAATTCAACGTGAAAATTAAGAGTAATTCTAGATTTTCATACTTTGAAAAATACTCCAATAAAGCCTGGTAAGCAAAAGGCACTATTGTTTTGTAATTTTATAGCACAGAAACATGCTTTTTGCTCATCAAAAGTATATAGTCTGGGCTGGGCACAGTGGCTCCCACTTGTAATCCCAGTACTTTGGGCGCCGAGACAGGCGGATCACCTGAGGTCGGGATTTCGAGACCAGCCTGACCAATATGGAGAAAACCTTCCGTCTCTACTAAAAATACAAAATTAGCTGGACGTGGTGACACATGTTTGTAATCCCAGCTACTTGGGAAGCTGAGGCAGGATAATTGCTTGAACCTGGGAGGTGGAGGTTGTGGTGAACCGAGGTCATGCCATTGCACTCCAGCCTGGGCAACAAGAGTGAAACTCCGTCTCTAAATAAATAAATATATAGTCTGGAATGTATGTTTAATTCTAATGCCACCAGTCAACACTACTTAAAGATTTATCCAGATTTCAGTCATGCAACAGATTTTGAGCACCTACTGCTTGCTGGCTATGGCTTGTGTACACTACAGAGCAGGGCTATTGCTGTGGGTTTTACTACAGTGGGTTTGCATTCTACCAGTGGGGCCAGATGAGCCGGCAGAAGCAAACTGGCAAGTATAAAACAAATACAAGCATGGTGGAGGTGGGGGTGGTGGGTAGTGACCTGATGTTGAGAGAGCCTTTCAAAAAGCATGCAACAAGCTTGTGAGGGGAGAGGAGATGGATGAGAGAAGCTTTTCTCCAGGGTGAAGTGTGGTGTCTGTGGTGTCTAAAGGCTGAGCAGCTGTATAATAACTGATGGAAGACGGTTTTGGCAGTTTCTATCTTTATATAACTTTTTTCCTTCCGCTAATTGTAGGGAATTTAAGAAGCTTTCAGACCATGTTTGTTGATGTTTTTCATAAGTACCATTCTTTAAATACGAATCTTTGTTTGTTCTGAAAAAGCTGCATCTAATCTTAATATGAAGAGTAATTTTTAAGTCCAGGTACAGTGGCTCATGCCTGTAATCCCAGCATTTTGGGGGAGCCAAAGCAAGAGGATCACTTGATCTTGGAAGGTTGAGGCTGCAGTGAGCTAGGATCATGCACTCCAGCCTGGGTACCAGGCTTCTTCCAAAAAGAGGAAGAATTTTTAAATTGTTGGTAGTATTGCTTTTGCTTTTTACTGATCTCTGAATGTCCCCACCCAGAGGACAAACAGAGAAACAGAATAAAGGAGTTATGTTCAAAGGTGACAGTGGAGAGCTTCCAAAGCCAAAAAAAATTGTTAGCAACATTGATTTCATCTGATGGCATTGACTAAATACAATAGCATTCATAAAACAAAGCCTGCCATTATATGGTATGAGCCAATTATCACAGAAATATTCTCCTGGAAGACTTAAAGTCAGCTATTCATTCATAAGTGTGGGACTCTGCTGAAAAAATTTCACGTTGAAACCGGAAGCTTCTAGGATTTCTTTCCTAGCCAAAAATAAAGCTTCCGGCTGGGCATTGTGCCCAAGTTTTTGGTTAACTTGTGGTGAAATCACTAATGATTGGCATTTTCTGGCCAATGAAGCAGGGATCCCATCTTTCACAGGGAGTATTTCTTGAGTCCTAACTCTGTTATGTATGTCTAGAGAGAAAAAGAAAATCACTTATGGAAAAAACATTATTTGTTGCTCAGTTGCTGTTTTATTAAATATGCATCTGTTTCATATCTTTCCTCGAAGACTATCATTACTATGCTTTTATTGCTTCTTATTGTATAACATTTTTATCAGAATGAGACTTAGTTACATATTTTGGGGTCCAAAAGTGAACTTTATAACTGTAAAATTAAGGTACATTTAGCAGTTTAGTGCTACTTTATCTGTATCTAATGACTGTCCAATCTGTTATGACTGGAACAAAAACAGAAAATTTCTTTCCCACAACTACCTACCTGCTGACAAGTGAGCTCTGTTGCAAAGTTTGTACTTTGGTAGAAGAACCCTAAGTGCTCTGGTGGTGTGGATGCCCCATACTGTGCAGTGATTTCTTTCTCCCATTATTACCTTATCTGTTCAAATTATTAGGAAACGTGCTTTCTTACAGTATAGCACATGACTGACATCCTTTGCTACATATGTGAGCATAAACACAAATGCAGGCCCAGAAATTGCATGGCAAAATAAGTACAACGAACCAACATTTTCTTTTTTTTTTTTTTTTGAGATGGAGTCTCGCTCTGTTGCCCAGGCTGGAGTGCAGTGGCGCAATCTCCGCTCACCGCAACCTCTGCCTCCCTGGTTCAAGCGATTCTCCTGCCTCAGCTTCCCGAGTAGCTGGAATTACACGCATATGCCACCACTCCCGACTAATATTTGTATTTTTTGTTTTTTTGTTGTTTTTGTTTGTTTGTTTGTTTTGAGACGGAGTCTCGCTCTGTCACCCAGGCTGGAGTACAGTGGCCAGATCTCAGCTCACTGCAAGCTCCACCTCCCAGGTTTACGCCATTCTCCTGCCTCAGCCTCCCAAGTAGCTGGGACTACAGGCGCCTGCCACCTCGCCCGGCTAGTTTTTTGTATTTTTTAGTAGAGACAGGGTTTCACCATGTTAGCCAGGATGGTCTCGATCTCCTGACCTCGTGATCCGCCCATCTCGGCCTCCCAAAGTGCTGGGATTACAGGCTTGAGCCACCGCGCCCGGCCAATTTTTGTATTTTTCAGTAGAGACGGGGTTTCACCATGCTAGCCAAGCTGGTCTCGAACTCCAACCTCAGGCGATCCACCCACCTCAACCTCCCAAAGTGCTGGGATTACAGGCATAAATCACCGCGCCCGGCCAACATTTTAGTAATGAAATGAAAACAACACAAACATTTTTTCATAGGTAAATTAAATCAGAGATTCTCAGGAGGAAATACCCATGGTCCCATGGTCCTCTGAAAAACACTGATGGGGAAGGTTCTGAGTATTTCCAATCCTGTTTCTTTTTTTTTTTTTTTTTTTTTTTTTTCTTTTTTTTTTTTTTTTTTTTTTTTTGAGACAGAGTCTCGCTGTCCATAGACTATGATGCGGTGGCGCAATCTTGGCTCACTGCAACCTCGCCTCAAGTTGAAGCAATTCTCCTGCCTCAGCCTCCAGTAGCTGGATTACAGGTGCTTTCGCCGTGTTGGCAGGATGGTCTCGATCCTCTTGACCTCATTATCCGCCCGCCTCGGCCTCCCAATGTGCTTGGGTTACAGGCGTGAACCCGCCTTGACTTTCAATCCTGTTTCTAATAGCATTCGCACAGACAGGATTGGCCCAGCACTGTGAATACTGAAAGAGTCTTGCCCGTGCATCAGAGATACATTAAATCTGTCTAATATTTTAAGATTCTGGTGAGCAGTATAAAACCATGTTTAGGCTGGTAGTGGCTCAAGCCCATAATCCCAGCACTTTGGGAGGCCGAGGCAGGTGGATCACGAGGTCAGGCTGGAGACCAGCCACCAGCTAACACAGTGAACCTGTCTACAAAAATACATTTTTTTTTTTTTTTTTTTTTTTTTTTTTGAGACAGAGTCTCGCTGTGTCACCAGACTGGAGTGCGGTGGCGCAATCTTGGCTCACTGCAACCTCCGCCTCCCAGTTGAAGCAATTCTCCTGCCTCAGCCTCCCGAGTAGCTGGGATTACAGGTGCTCGCCGTGTTGGCCGGGATGGTCTCGATCTCTTGACCTCATTATCCGCCCGCCTCGGCCTCCCAATGTGCTGGGATTACAGGCGTGAACCACTGTGCCCGGCCTCCAATCCTGTTTCTAATAGCATTCGCACAGACAGGATGGCCCCTTTTCTTGGAATACTATAAAAGAAGTCTTACTTGATATCGAAGATACAATTAAATCTTGTCTAATATTTTAAGATTCTAATTAGACATTAAAACCATGTTTAGGCCGGGCGCGGTGGCTCAAGCCTGTAATCCCAGCACTTTGGGAGGCCGAGACGGGTGGATCACGAGGTCAGGAGATCGAGACCATCCTGGCTAACACAGTGAAACCCTGTCTCTACTAAAAATACAAAAAACTAGCTGGGCGAGGTGGCGGGCGCCTGTAGTCCCAGCTACTTGGGAGGCTGAGGCAGGAGAATGGCGTAAACCTGGGAGGCAGAGCTTGCAGTGAGCTGAGATCGTGCCACTGCACTCCAGCCTGGGCGACAGAGCGAGACTCCGTCTCAAAAAATAATAATAATAAAAATAAGTAAAACCATGTTTATTATAAGTGTCCTGAAAATGAAGCCACTCAGAGAAAGCTAGTTAAACCATGTTTTTGCCCATTTATCTAAATCTTGTATTGTATTTTGTATTTTGGCTTCATTAGACTAATTGCGGTTTTTCTCCTCTGCAGTGAGAGGGTCCAAGCCTGGTAAGAATGTCCAGCTTCAGGAGAATGAAATCAGAGGACTGTGTTTAAAATCTCGTGAAATCTTTCTCAGTCAGCCTATCCTACTAGAACTTGAAGCACCACTCAAAATATGTGGTAAGTTTGGGGCACACAAGTTATCTTTGGTTACGTGATTGATTAACTGAGTCAAGAATATGTTGATGAGCTTGTATTAGCTAGCAGAATCATTCTCCTGTTTGTGAATAGCTTGGAACTACTAAAAATTAAGTTAAATAGTAGCTTTAGAATAAATACCTCTAATGGACTTAGTTTACTTAGATATACTTCAGATTTTTTAAAGAAATATTTTGCTGAAGGAATAAACATTACAGAAGAAAAAATGAAACTAAGAATGGAGAGCCAAGGAAAGGTCTGAACTACATGGATGTATAGGAATATGTTTTAAGTTTAAAGCAACACTGGTTATAACTAAATGTAGAACTTCCTTGATGTTGATTTTGTGGTTCTGTTTTCTGCATAATAGAAGCAGATAATTTGTGTTTTAACTCAATGTAAAACTAAACTTTTTTCATTTGAGTAATATATTCCTATAGCATATTTGCATTGATAAAACTTGGGGTCTTTTTTTTTTTTTTTTTTTTTTGAGACGGAGTCTCGCTCTATCGCCCAGGCTTGAGTGCAGTGGCCAGATCTCAGCTCACTGCAAGCTCCGCCTCCCGGGTTCACGCCATTCTCCTCCCTCAGCCTCCCAAGTAGCTGGGACTACAGGCGCCCGCCACCTCGCCCGGCTAGTTTTTTGTACTTTTTAGTAGAGACAGGGTTTCACCGTATTAACCAGGATGGTCTCGATCTCCTGACCTCGTGATCCGCCTGTCTCGGCCTCCCAAAGTGCTGGGATTACAGGCTTGAGCCACCGCGCCCGGCCATTTTTTTGTATTTTTTTTTAGTAGAGACGGGGTTTCACTGTGTTAGCCAGGATGGTCTCAATCTCCTGACCTCGTGATCCGCCCGTCTCGGCCTCCCAAAGTGCTGGGATTATGGGCTTGAGCCACCGCGCCCGGCCTGTGTTCATGTTTTTTAAAGTAAAATGTTCTTTGGCATTATCTAGCAGGGAGAAATTGAAAGCTAAATGCATTGATTGGTGGGGGGTTGGGGTCGTGTGTATGTGTGTATGTGCTTTGTTCAGACCGGGCCAAGGCTCGCTAAAAGTGCAGCTGTTCTGCTGACACAGTACCTAGAGACTGAGCTATCAGGGATCTGATATTGATCAGTCATCCTGAAAGGAATACCATGTTACTTGGCAAGAAGGCATGCCTGGACATAATAACCCTTTCCACAGAATAAATTCTTAATTAGTTGAATTTTGTGTGAGGTTCTGGACATACACATATACTTAAAAATTTTATTAAGCTCAATTGAACTAAATATGATGCCAGTTTGGAAATTACTTAGTGTTGGCTGTCCAATTAAACTCTCATTACTAGAGGTCAATGCCATTGTACAATGAATTTTTAAAGAATTTCTTTCCAAAGCTTTGTTAGTGGATTGAGCTGTAAGTATGGGAACACTGTGTAACAAAATTCTTGCTTCTAGGTGACATCCATGGGCAATACTATGATTTGCTGCGACTTTTTGAGTACGGTGGTTTCCCGCCAGAAAGCAACTACCTGTTTCTTGGGGACTATGTGGACAGGGGAAAGCAGTCATTGGAGACGATCTGCCTCTTACTGGCCTACAAAATCAAATATCCTGAGAATTTTTTTCTTCTCAGAGGGAACCATGAATGTGCCAGCATCAACAGAATTTATGGATTTTATGATGAATGTAAGTATTTTTCTATATCTCTGGAAGTTATTGAAATTAAGATATTTATCATAAACAATTATCACGTACTTCTGTTAGGAATTGTGAGAGTTTAGATGCAGTGGTATCATCTCTCATGTTTTCTATTTCATCAACTTGTTTTTAACTTAGCTTTTTAGGGGAGGTGGGGGAACAGAGTCTCACTCTGTTGCCCAGGCTGGAGTGCGGTAGCACCATCTTAACCTCATTTCAACCTCTGCCTCCCAGGCTCAAGCGATCCTCCTGCCTCAGCCTCCCAGGTAGCTAGGACTGCAGACGTGCATCACCACACTCAGCTAATTCATGTATTTTTTTGAAGAGATGGGGTTTCACCTTGTTGCCCAAGCTGATCTGAAACTCCTGGACTCAAGGAATCTGCCCACCTAGGCCACTCAAAAGTCCTGGGATTACTGGCGTGAGCCATGGCGCCCAGCCAGTTTTTTCTCTCTTGGGTAGAAAAAGAACACTGCCGCTGTAATAAAATAAGGTCTTGGATTCTTTTATGATGTGATGATCAGATTAGGAAGTAATGATCATGGTAGTGGTTTCTTTAAGATGTAATTTGTTGTATTCACAGATAACTTAATTCTTGGTAGAAATCTGAGAACCATTCCAAATAGTTTTAAGCAACTTTATTATGTAATTTCATTCCATAAAATTAATCTGTTGAAAGTATACAATTCAGTGATTTGTAGTAAATTTATAGTTATGCGACCATCTCACCGTAGCCCCCAGGCAACCACTAATCTACTTTTTGTCTTTGCTAGAGAACATTGCATGCAAATGGAATCTTGCAATGTGTAAATAATTAGTTTTTGAAATTATTATGGTTTTTCTCCTCTGGCATAACCGCACCCAGGAAGAATGGCAGTAACTTTCCTAAAACTAAAATGTGCTGAACAAGGATTATTTTTACAGTATTTTACGCATTTTGTGACTCATTTTGGATTGTTTATTTAAAGGTGCACTTTGATTTGACTATTGACAAAACACAGTTCTTAAAGCTTTGGAGATAGGCTGGGCGCAGTGGCTCACGCCTGTAATCCCAACACTTTGGGAGGCCACGGCAGGTGGATCATGAGGTCAAGAGATCGAGACCATCCTGGCCAACATGACGAAACCCCGTCTCTACTAAAAATACAAAAATTAGCCAGGCGTGGTGTCAGATGCCTGTAGTCCCAGCTACTTGGGAGACTGAGGCAGGAGAATCGCTTGAACCCGGGAGTCGGGTTCAGTGAGTCGAGATCACACCACTGTACTCCAGCCTGAGTGGCAGAGTGAGACTGCATATCAAAAAAAAAAACTTTGAAAATAATCAGTTTGATAAAGGGTTTTATGTCAGAAAAGGTTTTGAATCTTTACCTTCACCTTCCTTTTGTGCTTATTTCTGCCAGGAGGGGTTTCAGGTTTGGAGTGAAGGGGTGGTTAAGGAACTTCAGGTAGTTGGCATTTGCTAATATGATTATAGGGAGATCAGCAAAGTGTTGTCCCTGTGGCCCTCCCCTAGACCACATCCTAACTTAGAGTCTCCAGATGTGTGTGTTTCCATCTCAATTCACATAGATGTAGTGAGCTAGCACATTTGTTAGAAGTGCATCCTAGAAAGATTATATTCACAGACTGAGCCCTTCTACTACCACCCTTTCCCACAACTGGATGTTTGCTTGGTCTGTGTCCTTGAGATCCAGCTGGTAAGATGGGGTGGCAGGAATGATCAGGGACAAAAATTTTGTGGGTTCTGGACTGACTGATACCATTGAACCTGTAGAGGAAAGATATTCGATATTAACAGGGATTCTGTGTCAAAGAAGTGCCCAGTAAGCCAGTTACTACTCCTTAGGTAGTGAAATACAAGGCAGATGTGGTGGGTTTTTTTGGTGGTTGTTGTTTGTTTTTGAGACAGAGCCTTAAGCTGGAGTGCAGAGGTGGGTCATAGCATACTACAACCTGTAATTTCTGGGCTCAAGCAATCCTTTCACCTCAGCCTCCCTAAGTGCTGGCATTACAGGCATGGGCCACCACACCCAGGCAACATTGTGTTTTGGATACTTATTCCAAGTGTTACTCTTGAGTTAAGAAAGGGTTCCTTTTACATAACTGTTAGCCCAGCAAATACTTTTCATGTTTGCACTGATGAATTCAAATCCATTTGACCTTATTGTTGTGACTTCTATCCTAATGTAATGATATTAGCTGCATCAGTTTCAGTTTCTACTCAATGCAGAGGCCTTTAAAATGACTTAGAAGATCAGTGTCGGTTGGTATCAGTTTCGACTCCTGTTTGATCATCAACACAGTTTATAGATCTTGTGTTCCAGCTTCCTCTCTCCCATCAGGCAGATACAATTTGCCATCCAGTCTACTTGTGGGCATAAAAGTGCCCTTGACATAGGTGGCTTCTGGTTGAAGGCTTGCAGACATTTAGTATATATATTATATATGTTAATGTTATTAAAATGAAAAGTTGTATTCAAATGTTGATTTTCATGGGACAATTTAAAAACCACTGCCTGTTTTCCAGGTACATAAGTACTTTATACTACCATTTCTTTTTTGTTTGTTTAAATTTTGCAAATGTGATGAAAAGGCTGAGGTATATGTTGTTGGGTAAAACAGGAGTGTTTGTTGATCCATTTCTGCTACCGGAGCTGTCTGATGTACAGTAATGGGAAACTGCATTACAGGTTATGGCTCAGAATCTTAGGATTTGGAAGCTAGACGATTACCCTGGTTAAACCTTTTAGGACCCAGATGTTCCTAGTGATCTGAGGTGGCCTTAGGGAGGAAATGAAGAGAGAAGAGAAAGAGACAGCCCCACGCTTAAAAGTGCTGAGAGGCAAAAGGAGGAAACAAACTGATTTTTCATGGAGAGGCCAGCAGAAATCGGCAAGAGAAGAAACGAGTTTGTGGCATAACTAAAGAATCAAAGGCCGGGCATGGTAGCTCATGCCTGTAATCCCAGTACTTTGGGAGGCCAAGGTGGGTGGATCACTTGAGGTCAGGAGTTCAAGACCAGTCTGCCCAACATGGTGAAAACCCATCTCTACTAAAAATACAAAAATTAGGTGTGGTGGTGCACACTTGTAGTCCCAGCTACTCAGGAGATTGAGGCAGAAGAATCCCTGGAACTCGGGAGGCTGTGGTTGCAGTGAGCCGAGATCACATTGCTTTACTCCACCTGGGTGACGGAGTGAGACTCCACCTCAAAAAAAAAAAAATATCCAGAAGTGAAGCTGACCTTGGGGAAAGAGGAAGTCACTATCCCTGGGGGGCTAAGGCAGCAGCCCTGTTCTTATAATACAGGTTAAGTATTCCTTACCTGGAATGCTTGGGACTACAAGTGTTGCAGGTTTCAGAGTTTTGTGTTTTGTTTTGTTTTGTTTTAATTTTGGAATATTTGTGTTATAATTACTGGTTAAACATCCCTAATCCAAAAATCTGAAATCCAGAATGCTCCAGTGAGCATTTCCTTTGAGCATCATGTGAGTGCTCAAAAAGTTTCAAATTTTGGAGCATCTTGGATTAAGGATACTCATCTTGTGGTGGTGGTGGTGGTGGTGGTGGTGGTGGTGTGGTGGTGGTGGTGGTGTGGTGGTGGTGGTGGTGGTGGTGTGGTGGTGGTGGTGGTGGTGTGGTGGTGGTATTGCTGTTGGACATGGGAGGTGGTGTTTTTGCAGATTGCCCATCAGCCTTTCGTGAGGAGGAGTTTGTTGGGTTTTTTTTTTTTTTTAGATGGAGTTTCATTCACTCTTGTTGCCCAGGCTGGAGTGCAATGGTGCGATCTTGGCTTACTGCAACCTCTGCCTCCCAGGTTCAAGCAGTTTTCCTGCCTCAGCCTCCTCAGCCTGGCGGGAGGAGTTTGTTGAACTTTCAGAACCCCTCCAGTGAAGGAGTTAGTAGCCTCTAAAGAAATGCGCAACAGGGTGAACCGTAGAGTTAGACCCAGTCATTGAGAAACCAGAAATTATTAGGAGAAAAGATAACACTCTTCTGCAGAGAGAAGGCAAACATTTGTTGAATTTACATTACATTTCAAGCCCTGTGCTAAACTCCCTAGACTGCTTGATTTGCATTACAGGGTGGGAAGTGTGGTTCAGGTCAGTTTTTGGGCTGGCCCTAACTCTCAAAGGAGAGGTACAGGTTTATACCTTTCGATGTCCCTATAGTCCCCAGGAAGAGACTAAGGACAAACTCTTGGTTTGGTTTGGTTTGGTTTGTTTTTTGAGACGGAGTTTCGCTCTTGTTGCCTAGGCCGGAGTGCAATGGCACAATCAAGGCTCACCACAATCTCCGCCTCCCGGGTTCAAGCAATTCTCCTGCCTCAGCCTCCCAAGTAGTTGGGATTACAGGCATGCGCCACCACACCCAGCTAATTTTTGTATTTTTAGTAAAGAAGGGATTTCTCCATCTTGGTCAGGCTGGTCTCAAACTCCCAACCTCAGATGATCTGCCCGCCTTGACCTCCCAAAGAGCTGGGATTACAGATGTGAGCCAACCCGCCTGGCCAAACTGTTGGTTTTTAAAGATTGTACTTAGTATAGTAAGGTACAGGAAACAAAGGCATCTGGACAATTGGACAGTCCTCAACCAATCCAGAGAAATTTGTTCTTGCAAGGTATGTGAGTAGGTTTTAAACTCAGAACATCAGTTTCCTGTAGAAACAGTGCATAGTGGCATATTTCTGTCAGAACTGCACTCTGACTCCAGAATGTGTGGATGCCTGTGCTAGTGAGAGAACGTGACCACCCTGTGACATCAGGCCTGTGGGAGCATGTGGAGTCTGTGCAGTGTTGGAAACAAATGCCCTGTAGTGCCTGTGAGAGGCACCACTGCCGTGTGATCATTGTGCCTCCTGCTAGAGCACTGAGGCCTGGGGATCCTCTGGTATCTGTAGGTTGTTGAGGGGAGTACATGGGGGATAGGTGCTAACTCAGGCTTCCTCAGAAGGAAGGTCGTAATGCCACATGGTGTAAGTTCGTAATTGCCTTAAGAATTAGGGAACTAGCTGCGGTGAGATTGGACAAAGCATACTGGATTTCAGACAGAATTGATGCTACCAGATAATTCCTGGGATTTGATGGCAATCCTTAATCATTATCAAATCTGGAATTCTGGTTTCATACTTCTATGGAATTTAAAAAGATTTCATGTGAAAATGTAAGTCATTGCTTTTAGATCAGATGTGTCTCTCCTAAACCCCTTCCCTCCAGGAGAGTCTTTCTTTAAAGAGATGGGGTGTCACTATGTTGCCCAAGCTGTTCTTGAACTCCTGGGCTCAAGCGATCCTCCTACCTCAGCCTCCCGAAGTGCTGGGGTTACAGGTCTGACCCACCACGCCCAGCTCTTATTTTAAAAGAGTGTTAAAATAAGACGGTTTTATTAAGATTCTTAATAAAAACATAGTTTCGTTTGCTTAAAAAGCACCCAGAATCTTGCTTTGGGGGAAGTTAATCCTGAGAGAATGAGCCTACAGAACAGTGATACTCTCTCTTTAATCACAGGTAAAAGAAGATACAACATTAAACTATGGAAAACTTTCACAGACTGTTTTAACTGTTTACCGATAGCAGCCATCGTGGATGAGAAGATATTCTGCTGTCATGGAGGTAGTTGGGCTGATTTTTGTTCCAAATAGGTTTTGATCCCTTCCAAAGGATGAACACTTTAACATTTGTGAGTTACCATTGGGATGACTTCTTCTGACAGAACACTCTCCTTTGTTGATGTGTTGCATTGCACTGTCACTCTGATACAGCCAGGATTACTTGGATAAAAATCTTAAGGAACTGATTTATTACAGGGAATTCTAGACTCTGTAAATTAGGATTGAAAATAGAGCAGAAAATGTTTATTTTTATTTTATTTTTTGTAAGGATGAGTTCTCACCATGTTGCCCAGGCTGGTCACAAATTACTGGGCTCAAACAATCCTCCTGCCTTGGACTTCCAAAGTGCTGGGATTACAGGCGTGAGCCACCGTGCCCGGCTCGGAAAAGTATTTTTAACTATAAAATGAACAATATGTAATTTGCTGTGCCAGAGATCCTCTAGAACACTGAAGATGTGAATAGATTTTCCCTTGTTTGTTTTTTATCCTCTCAGAACTTTCCCTGACTTGGATTTTAAAAGTTATTTTGGCCAGGCATAGTAATTCGCATCTGTAATTCCAGCACTTTTGAGAGGCCAAGGTGGGAGGATTGCTTGATGCCATGAATATGAGAACAGCCTGTAACTTATCGAGACCCCTGTCATTAGAAAAAGTGTTAAAAATTAGCCAGGTGTAATGGTGCACACCTGTAGCCGTAGCTATTTGGGAGGCTGAGGCGGGAGGATCACTTGAGCCCAGGGGTTTAAGGCTGCAGTGAGCTATGATCGCACCACTGCACTCCAGCCTAGGCAACAGAGGAAGACCCTATCTCTAAAAATATATACATACATATTTTATAAGCTATTTTTCTTTGCTCAGTGGTTGTGCTTTCTATAATGTAATTAAAATAGTAATTGCAAAGAGAATGTCTTTTCATGTATGGTGTGAAATTAATCAGCCATCAAAAAGCCAACATAATGTCTTTTATCTCTATGCTTCTATACTTACACAGGTTTTGGTAGAGTTGGATACATGGTTTTTAACTCTTATAATATGCATCCCATATTGTAACTTGATACAATAAGCTCTTGTAGATTTTAATGGTCTATGAATAGTGCAGATTTCCTAGAGAACTCACTGTCACTGAGCATCCTTATCTTCTCAGCTCAGTCATTATAAGCCATCAATCGTAACATCGCTCATTATTGTCATCAACTGGGGAAGCCCATAGAAGAGTTTTTTAAATCACTGGATTTTATTTTACAGTGTTCTGTATAATATAACTGCCTCCATGTACTGTTTAAACCTGCAGCACCCCATGCATTACTGCATATAATTCTAGTGTGTATCCAGTTGTCCTTTTTCTGTGTGTGTGTGTTTTTTTTTCTTTTAACCAAGAGTAAATAAAATATAATCAGATTTCAGTTTTTGTGTCAGGATTATTGAATTTCTCTGTAGACAAATGGAACTTTTGAAGGGGTAATATCCTTTTAAAAGTTTTGCTTTCTTCATTTTTCTTTTCCTCATTGAATAGGTTTATCACCAGATCTTCAATCTATGGAGCAGATTCGGCGAATTATGCGACCAACTGATGTACCAGATCAAGGTCTTCTTTGTGATCTTTTGTGGTCTGACCCCGATAAAGATGTCTTAGGCTGGGGTGAAAATGACAGAGGAGTGTCCTTCACATTTGGTGCAGAAGTGGTTGCAAAATTTCTCCATAAGCATGATTTGGATCTTATATGTAGAGCCCATCAGGTATTGATTTTGAATTTTACATGTACACTTAAGAGCATGTGTGTGAGCACAGATTCTCCTTGTTGATTTTGGTGGGTAGGTATTGCTTATTTATACAAAGTGTTTCTGGAACACAAGATATCAGGCTCAATGGGAAACTGAAACATGGTTTTACTCACCTAATATTTGCACCTATTTATACTGAAAAAATTTTCTCTCGAAGGTGGTTGAAGATGGATATGAATTTTTTGCAAAGAGGCAGTTGGTCACTCTGTTTTCTGCGCCCAATTATTGTGGAGAATTTGACAATGCAGGTGCCATGATGAGTGTGGATGAAACACTAATGTGTTCTTTTCAGGTAGAGCATGCTTTCAACATTATTTCCTTTTACTATGTTTGCACTTTGCTGGTTGAAAAATAAAATTGCCACTTTTTGCCTAGTGTTCATTTATGCTAAGTAGGCTGTTTCTATTTTCCCTTAACCAGTGTGTGTTATAGTTGAATAATGTGTGGATCCCTTGTAAAAGAAAAAATTAATTATGGCACCTTTTCCCAGTGTTTAATTATGATTTTTTTGCATTGCATATTGGCTCCTTATGCTTATGGCTGTTTTACTGTAAATCTAAAACCATAATGACAATGTAATGTTCAGCTAAAATTAAATCACCACTTGCATGTGAAAAGTACTGAGTGCCTCGTGCTATGTGTTTACTTAGTTCTGCCCTCTAGTCTAACTTCCACAAAACTTCTATTAATGTACCACGACATCATTTGGCCTTCAGTTGTCACAAAAGCATTATTTAGAATCTGCCTCAGCCTTTTTCTCATTTGCTTATTATGATAAACTTGTACAAGTTCAAGCCAGCCTAGTCATAAACATAAATACAGCCACCAAATCATGTGGCAGTCATCAGTTAAATGAATTAAAAGTTTTGTTGTTGTTGTTGTTGTTTTTTACCAATTGTCAGAGAACTTGCAGCTTTCAAAATTCCAAAGATTGTGCAAGAATCCCCTGCAGGTTGGAGAAACACTTTTGTAAAGCACTTTCTCCCCATATCAGAAGAAATAGCTAAAGATATTACCAGTACTCAGAGACAAAATAATTTGTCCAGATCATAGATTTTTATCTCTTCATCATAGCCTTAATTACTAAATGTTTACATGTCAACTTAGCTTGTGTTAATATGCTAGGGAAGCTTTTACAGTTGTTGGGGCAGTTGTAAACGCCATCTGAACAAAAGATCTGAATGAAATGTAAGGACTCTTTAAGATTTGGGGTTGAGTATATTTCCTAAATGAACTGTCTTTTGAATCTCTCCAGATTTTAAAGCCTGCAGAGAAAAAGAAGCCAAATGCCACGAGACCTGTAACGCCTCCAAGGGGTATGATCACAAAGCAAGCAAAGAAATAGATGTCATTTTGACACTGCCTAGTTGGGACTTGTAACATAGAGTATATAACCTTCATTTTTAAGACTGTAATGTGTACTGGTCAGCTTGCTCAGATAGATCTGTGTTTGTGGGGGCCCTTCCTTCCGTTTTTGATTTAGTGAATGGCATTTGCTGGTTATAACAGCGAATGAAAGACTCTTCACTCCAAAAAGAAAAGTGTTTTGTTTTTTAATTCTCTCTTCCTTTTGCAAACAATTTTAATGATGGTGTTAAAGCTGTACACCCCAGGACAGTTTATCCTGTCTGAGGAGTAAGTGTACAGCTGATCTTTTTAAATTCAGTACAACCCATAATCATGTAAATGCTCGTTTTCTTTAGGACATAAAGAGAGCCCTAGGGTGCTCCAAATCTGTACATGTTCTTGTCATAAAATGCATACTGTTGATACAAACCACTGTGAACATTTTTTATTTGATAATTTTGTTTCAAAGGGATTGCTTTTTCCTCTCATTGTCTTGTTATGTACAAACTAGTTTTTATAGCTATCAACATTAGGAGTAACTTTCAACCTTGCCAGCATCACTGGTATGATGTATATTTAATTAAAGCACACTTTTCCCCTACCGTATACTTAAAATGACGATTAAAGCCATTCTTTTAAATATTTGTGACTCTTTCCTAAAGCCAAAGTTTCTGTTGAATTACGTTTTGGCACACCCCTAAGTACAAGGTGGTATGGTTGTGTACACATGCTGCCTTCTCGGGGATTCAAAAACAGGTTTTTGATTTTGAATAGCAATTAGTGATATAGTGCTGTTTAAGCTACTAATGATAAAAGGTAAAAACATTTTGTACAATTTCCATATAGTCTATTCATTAAGTAATCTTTTTACAGTTGCATCAGGCCTGAACCCGTCCATTCAGAAAGCTTCAAATTATAGAAACAATACTGTTCTATACGAGTGACCGATTATGCTTTCTTTGGCCTACGTTCTTTATTCTGCGGTGAAGTTGAGGCTTATAAGTTAAAACAAAGGAACTAACTTACTGTCCACAAGTTTATACAGAACTCACAGTATCTATGACTTTTTTTAAACTAAGATCTGTTAAAAAAGAAATCTGTTTCAGCAGATGACCGTGTACAATACCATGTGGTGAAAATGAATTCAGACTTATTAAATGATGAACTTGTTAAATCCTCTCAGTGTCTATTTATCAGCACAATACACACAGGAGAACTGTTGATGGCATATTGAATAGATTTTCCTGAATAAATTGCTCTGGAAACCACACGGTTGCATTTTGGTTTTGTCTTCTTTCATATAGTCTGTTTTCCAAAGATGGATTATAATACAGATACTAATACTCTTCGAGTTGTAACCTGGAGACACCTATTCATGTAACAGAGTGATGAGGTGGAATGATCCTCCTCTACCGTTTGGGGAGATGGGGATTAGTCTGTCTGTGTCCATAGTTTTCTTACTGTCTGGTTCACTTGAACTTAGTGGCGAATTTGAAAGCAGCTCACTTCATTATTCTGAGTCAGCCACCTATATTTTCATGCACATTTCTTTGATCTCTTCCCCCTTCCCTGGTTTATATGGAACACAGTATCACGTCATATTTTGTCATAAGTATATATCTTAATTTCTCAGAGGTACGCTAAAAATGAGTGAAGAGCATGTCATTTGGAAAGCTTTTTTTTTCTGTTACAAAGTGGTCTCCCTGAGGGCATTGGCAGAGGAGCTAGTGAGGAACTGTTTGAAGGACACAGAAGAGCACAGGGCCGTGGACTCCCCTCTGCTAACAGGCTCTGGTCCTGAGGCATCTGCACCCTGCCCTGCTCCCATCAAAGAGGGAAGGGGGACCTCATGACCTTCCTGCTCCACATTGACAATATCCAAACTTGTGCTGTTTCACTTTTATGTAATACTCTCCCAGACTTCTTTGACCATAGGAGAAAAAAATGAACAATAATCGTGTCAAAGGCAAATTCTGCCCATCTTTATATCCTGATCGTTAATGAATTAGGATTTCAAAATGCTATGAAGTTGTAAAATTGAGCTGCTGTACTTAGATTATATCATTATTGGAGTCTGGTATCTGGCTCAAAATTTTCTTAAGGAACATTGATTGGTCAAGTAGAAGACAAGATTAGGCTTTGGACCTGAGATCCTTAGGAGAGACTCAATTTGAAATCTGTGTGACAGTAGAACTTGAGGTGTGTGTGATAACCCAAGTCCTGGCCCCTCCTACCTAATTTGAGTGAGTGACCTGAATGCCGAGCCACTGTTCCTAGCTATGAAACGTCCATAGCAGTAGCTGTCTCACATTTGTGAATGTTGAGTGAAATTGTGTGGCGTCTTTAGAATGCTCAACTCGGTGGTATTTGCTTAAATGTTTGCTTTTTGTTGCCTTATCGATCCCAGTTCTTTCGTGTCTTTGCACATCTTGGTTGGCTGAGTTTGAAGTGTCACCTGCCTTTGCTTTGCGGCCCTCTTATGACCTGATACCAAACCATGGATAGCTAAGTATGTCTGAGCATTTACTGCATAAGGGAATAGCATCATAGATGTTTCCAGCATACGCAAAAGAAATAACTAGGAAAGAGGAAGTTGTCATTATTAGTGTGATACTATTCTAGTAAATGGTTGTTTTATTTTTGTCAAGTATTCCTGATCACAAGATGACAGCATACAGAAAGGCAGGTGATAGGCATCCTTAGTCTCTCAGTCATCTATGTAATACCCTCCCATTGAAATCGCTGATTTGGTACACAAATTAGGCCTGCCCACGTCTAGCTGCAGTGGACGGCACAGATGCTTACATACAACCCTTGTTCTTGAAGTACCTTGATTTAAGACCAGAGTTCTCAAGTAACACGCATAAATGGGATATGGAACACAGGGACTAGGAAAAAATTACCGAGTGCTGAGCCATGAAGAAGGCACAGAATTTAAACTGATGGAAAGGAATATCAGTCACGTTTCTCAATGTGGGACTGTGATGAGAGTTTGAAAGGGAATTCAGTTTGCTGGGAAGTGAAGATAAAAGCTATGAAGTTAAGGCATCATGATGCCAGAAAACACAAGGGAACCTTGCAGGGAAGTACTGCATGAAAAACCTTAGGTTTATTTGGCAGTTTGCAGACTCGCCATGTAAATTGAGACACGGAGACAAGGGCCACGTAATCCAAGTATTGCCTGGAATTAGTAGTAGAGGGGACAAAGCTGAGGATCCGCATCAGAACAAAGAAGGAATGTCTTCCTTATGTTTGGTCTGTAGAACATTAAAGAAAGCTTCCAGGAAGTGGGTTAGTATAGGTTTGAAGTGCCATGTCTCCATTTTCCTATCTTGAGGAAAAGACCCAAAACTCAACCTCATGTACCGGCTAACTTGAATCTGCAGGGGTGGTTTTGATGAATAAGAACTTTTTCAGTCTTGCAAATCAGATGTATACATCAGCCTACACTAGAAGAACATGGCACCCTCTGCCCCAGGCTTTGGTTTCCTTCTCTCACCCACAGAATAGGGATAACTAGAATACTTACCGATGGGATTGTATTAGCCCACCAAAACATCTACAACTTGCCTTACAAGCATTCCGGAAACAGCCCTCATATAAGACCGATGAATAGTCCTAAGATTAAAGCCAATGACAACACACAGGAACGTTTATTAGGAAATTTTGATCCAGGCACAGGCAGAAGTCACTTTTCATTCATGCTTGCTAATGTATGAGCTTCAGAAGAGTGGAAATGATGGACTATCAACACCTTCCGCCTACGACTCAAATAGAATGAGTACGTGCATTAGTGCATCCCTGAATTAGCGCGTGGTTCATAGTTGTGTGATTACGGAGATGACTGCCGTCTTACCTGATCAGCGCAGCAGCTGCTGTAGCTCCAATGGGCTTGACATCCAGATGTATTACAAGTATCCCAATAATTTCAAACACAGGTAAATATTTTAGTTGTGAGAATTATGTAGAAATTTTGTCAGTTATTTGAAAGAAATATGTTAGAGGATTAAAGCACCTCAGTTAATCATGTAAACAATTTTGTAATCAAAAAGTTAAAACTAGGCTGGGTGCAGTGTCTCATGCCTGTAATCCCAGTGTGATTGGGAGGCCGAGGTTGGATCACTTGAGGTCACGAGTTTGAGACCAGCCTGGCCAACATATGAAACCCCATCTCTACTGAAAATACAAAAATCACCTGGGTGTGGTGGCACATGCCTGTAATCCTAGCTACTCGGGAGGTTGAGGCAGGAGAATTGCTTGAACCCGGGAGGCGGAGGTTGCAGTGAGACAAGATTGTGCCATTGTACTCCAGACTGGGCAACAGAGCAAGACTCTTAAAAAAAAAAATAAAACTTGGAAAGTTTGCAGTAATAAAATAGGGAAATAGAATGTTGCATAAGTTCAAGAACTTTATACTCTTCAACTAACAAAAGTTTGTAAGAATTTTAAAATATAAGGCATGCAAAATATTGGGAATGAATCAGTATGGCAAGTCTTGTAAGTGCACCTCAGAAGGCATCGTGAGGCACTGCCCAAAGTGTAGGAATTGAGAAGGAAGACATAAGTCCTTACCTTGCTATTGGCATGGAACAACCAATGTGGTGGTAGGACCAGCCAGAAAGCAACTTGCCCTTCCACCAACCTCAGATAAAAGTGAGCATCTATTTAGTATTACAAACGTGCAGATACTTCAGGAGCAATAAAGCAATGGGTGGTGCTAAGAAGGTAGCATATCGGCTGGGCACGGTGGCTCACACCTGTAATCCCAAAACTTTGGGAGGCCAAGGCAGGTAGGTCACCTGAGGTCAGGAGTTCAAGACCAGATTGGGCAACATGGAGAAACCTCCATCTCTAATAAAAATATAAAATTAGCCTGGCATGGTGGTGGCAGGTGCTTGTAATCCCAGCTACTCAGGAGGCTGAGGCAGGAGAATTGCTTGAACCCGGGTGGCAGAGGTTGTGGTGAGCTGAGATCGCACCATTGCACCACAGTCTGGGCAACAAGAGCAAAACTCCGTCTCAAAAAAAAAAAAAAAAAAAAAAAGGTAGCATACCAGCCCAGCATCAAACTTAGGAGAATTCTGATGATTGTAATGATTAAATAGTATCAATTAAATTTTTTTCCAGTATGGGCAACATGGTGACACCCCGTCTCTATTAAAAATATAATAATACAAAAAATTAGCCAGACATGGTGGTGCACACCTGTGGTCCTAGCTACTTGGGAGACTAAGGTGGAGGATCGCTTGAACCTGGGAGGCGGAGGTTGCACTGACCTGAGATCGCGCCACTGCACTCCAGCCTGGGTGACAGAGTGAGACCCTGTCTCAAAAAATAATTTTTGATAGAATTTCAAATTCATTATTGTGTTCCAACCAGTTCCTCAATAGCAATATTTGGCTATGACCACCAAATACTGATTTTAATACTCATTCAGCTAAAATGCATATTTGGTGCAACTCTTGAAACAATTCTAAAATGTCACTTAAAAATGCATATTCCTTTTTTCTTCTAGCCACCCAATTAGCACAATATCACATACCATGTCTCCCAAAGAGGACCAGCCCAACACCAGTTGTTCAGGGCTGGTGAACAAGAGAACAGTAAACTAGTCATGTTCTTGGACAGACTGGCTGCTTGACCTTTCCCTGGCAAGTTAGGTAGGTGTGGCAGAGGGAGCAGGTGGGATAAGGGTGTTTTTGCTGAGGTTGGCAGAAGTTCGTTTACCATCTGATGGAGCTTTGCTCATTCACCAGCTCCATGAACCCCTTAAGGAGCCCAGTTCCATACCTGCTAGTTACCATAATGAAATCACTTCCCAATTTTTGTTTTTGTGTTTTTGGTTTTTTTGAGACAGAGTCTTGCTCTGTTGCCCAGACTGGAGTGCAGTAGCACAATCTTGGCTCACTGCAAGCTCTGCCTCCTGGGTTCACGCCATTCTCCTGCCTTAGCCTCCCAAGTAGCTGGGATTATAGGTGCATGCCACACACCCAGCTAATTTTTATATTTTTAGAAGAGACGGGGTTTCACTGTGTTGGCCAGGCTGGTCTCAAACTCCTGACCTCAAGTGATTCGCCTGCCTCAGTCTCCCAAAGTGCTGGGATTCCAGGCCTTCCCAAGTTTTGATTACTGACCCACAAACACCACATATCTTCTCTAGTGCTTGCCCTTCAGATTGAGAAGTGGAATGGACAGATGTAGACTCACATAGTCCCCCACTCAGGAGGCTGTCCAGAGTAAGTGAAGGACACAGATTCAGCGTGGATCGGA